CAGGAAACCAAGCCAGGGTCAGGCACCCCGGGGTGCAAGTCACCCCCTGTGACCCACTCTCCTTCCCCCCAGCTGCCCGCAAAGAGGGGGCTGAGTCGACACTATCGAACACCCCAAGGTCGTTTTGTGGAAGGTAACGGGGCAGCACAGACGTCACAGAAGGGAGATTTGAAACAACTCCAAGATTATGTTTAGGACTTGTCCCTAACAGCTGCACAGTAATTCACAGACAGGCTCGGAAAAAGAAGCCAGTCCAGTTATCTCTTCCCTGGCAAACTGCAATTATGCCAACATCCTGCACACAGATAAACCAAAATCAAATAAAAAAAACCTCAACCACCAACTCACTAGACCCAGAGCAGCTCTGCTGTTATTTCATGCCATGTTTTTCTCTGAAACTTTGTTGTCTGTAGGATACTAGCCTTTTTCCAAATCTAAACATTTCCAGCAGTCACTTACCCAGGCCATACTGTTGAGCTAAATTATAGTCTGGCGCAGCCTCTGCCTGGTTTAAAGATGCTGGAAGCACCAGCTTCTTTTCCACAAAATCAGGTGGCTTTGGACCAGACATACAAAAAGACACTCTTTGGTTGTTAAAATAAGAATCAGAAGTGGGAGGAGGACTTCCCACTTTCTGCACAATTGCTGAGCATCTCCACTTCCCTCCTCAAAACACACAGACCAGCCAACGACTGCAGGAAGAAATGTGTTAGATCTGAGCCAAATGTTGATGAAAACAGCACTTGGACTTAAAAAAAAAACCAAACAAACCAAAAACTAAACCAAACAGAAGCTCTCTGAGAAAGGCAACACCTCGAAGTAAAAACATCTGTGTCTTCACCATAGGGCACAAAGGGGTAAAGGGCTACTTTCTGCCACGCTGGCAGACACAGCTTGATACCTGTATTAGATACCTGAGCCTTCTTTTAACATCTCAGCCAGGCTTGTCTAAAGGTTTAACTCTGATACAGCACACTGTTCACTTTCATACCTCCATATACAGGACAGTACCACAGAAGCTTAAGGTGATTAAGAGATAACACTTCCTTCACTCAGACTGGAATAAACAAACAGAAATTAAAAAAAATCCAACCAAAACACCAAATTCAAATCAAAATCCAATCACACGAACCAGAATCGGAAAAGAGACCATCACCTCATTTACCTGCAACAGTTATTGTCCTGGAAAATCTCCAGACAACAGAAGGAAGACTCTGGGATTTATGTTTGACGTGAATGGGTTAAATAAAATATTCCTCAAATTCGTATTTTAAAACACCAGTGGGCTTGGGTTTATGATGAAGTGAAGGGAGCTCGGAGCAGATCCCAGAAAGCAATAGGTGCCCATGACTCACAGGCTTCACAGAAAGCCGTGGGTGTTGCACATCTCTCAGTACAGCACCAGTATCTCTTTCCC